GTCGGCTATCGCACACGACGGGTCGGACGATCAGGAGGCGCGGCTCACTAGGGCGTTGCCGAGACACCAGGCCGATTGATACCCACGCGGTGGGTACTTCTCAAAAAGCTCTTTACTCAAACTGACAAGAGCTTCCGAGCGAACATACACCTGTTTTGAAAGATTCCGGAGTACCGAGGGGACGGGCTCCGTTGGCTGGCGGAGCCTCGTCATGCACTTCACTGCGGCTTCAGGTGGGCCGTAAATTGATCGACGGTATATAAGGGTATTGAGGTAGCTGCGTTCATCTGTCCAGCCGCGATAGTGCTCCTGCGCGTAGTCATACAGGGTCTGTTCCTCCAAGTGTGCCTGCTCGTCGGGGGAGAGAACATCTTCAGGGAGATCGTCCATGTAGTCGCCAAGACAAATGATGCGGCAACCAGCCCACCCAACAGATTTAGCCCATTTGTCAATCTCTGGCGACAGCCAGTTCCACAGGTGATGACAGGTTGCAGCGAAGCAGATGAGATCGCCAGGAGAGCGGATGTGTGATGCGATCTCAATGATCATCTCCGGTGGGAATTTTGACAATCCGCGCTCACGGCCGCTGTGCTGGTGGTTAGCATAGGTACAACATATTCATTTGAGCTGAATATTGCACCGAGAAGAGCTGAGGAGTTCAGTGCTGGGAATGATCGGCATCGACGGAAGAGGACGAAGGGGTTGCAGTAGTTCTGTCAGAGTTTCGTGCGTACAACTGTGGTAAAAGAACTCCCCGAGCTTTCCGAGATGGCCTGATTGAATCTCTCTGTCGATGTGGATGATCATCCAGTATTGACCCATCGTGCTCAAGATAAGTGTAGCTAACGTACGAATCTCCTGGGCGACAAGCTACCACGGTAGCCGCTCTTGGCTAGCTGTGCACGGAAATATATTGTTGCCTCCATTAGTCTCCGTCAGGAATATGATCCCGTTTCACTCCGTTTTATTCCCGTTTGCACCCGTACCTGTCATCCGGTTTGAACTTAGGAGTTCTGAAGAACAAACAGAACCGATCTTCCAGTTTTTCCGGTTTTGAAAAATTGTGTTTTTTTTTAAAAAAAAAATGAGCTTCAATTGCACCAGAACTTACTCATATTGTCATGAGTCAAGGACTGGCAGGGGCAGACCGAACAAAACCATAGTACGTACTGAAACCAAACAAACGGAAGCAAGGAAGCACAGAAAACCGGGGAAAGAACTGGAAAAACTGAGGAAGGAACCGAGAAAACTGGCATGGGAACCGGGGAACCAGAAGGACACGTGAACGTGGAAGCAAAAGGATCCTAAGGGAAGCAAGCGGAGACAAATGATTTTCCCAGAGCCCGACGGAAGCTAAGTATTGTGTTTCCGTGCACAGCCGCGGGCCAAAGCGGCCCCGTACTTTCTGGTAACGTTGTTAGGAATCTGCGAGCTTAATTAATATTACTATGGTCTCGAAAATGAGCAAATGGTTCCGACAAAGCCGAGAGTCTCCTGGACCGACGGTACCGCTTGAACTAGACATTGACAACCCTTGGATCATTGCGACGACATGGTCCCTTTACTTCCAGTCACCAGTAACAAGCATTCTCAGAATGAAAATGTATTGGACGAGGACAGGACTTCGTACGCCGTTGAGGGTTGCGTCATGTCTCCATCAAGCGCCGCATTGCATGCATCTTACCTATTCACAGCACTTGAGCGTGCCTACGCTGTGACCGAAATCCCTCCATACATGTGGCCGCAATTCGGCCTGGAATTCGATGAACTTGATGACGTGTGTCCCCCGCTGAACTCGCCCCGACATTGGGACGAGGCATGGCGGCGATACGCCCCAGTCCTTGCAGCCTTGGGGTACACCTTCCATTGGCACTATTCGCCAGTGCTCAATGGTGGAACGAGTGAGACGCTACATGTCGCCGATGTATTGCCAGACCCAGTGGATGTGTTCAATCCGCAGACATCGGAGGCCCTGGCGCAGTATCCACTTGGGCACAGGGCGAAGCGAGGCTAGTTCGTTTTCGTGAGTCGGATCACTTGAAAGGTTTTGTTCCTACTGGTACTAATGGGATTAGTAGAAGAAGCCACATGCAGCGTATGATCGTTATGGAAGAAGAGTTATAGTCAAAGCCGTTCTGTCCGACAGCACTGAGGCGGCCATCTTGATCCTCCTTCGCTCGCGGCAATTATTTCGTCGAGATGCACGGGATCATACGGTGCCACTGCTTGACATTTTTCTTTGCGGACGGTGGACGCTAGTGGTGATGCCGGAATGGGGCAGAATAGGTTTTCCTTCAAACGTGGGAGACTACAGTTTCATCATTCAAGAGCTGCTTGAGGTGCCCTTCCTGCTAATACTTCAGGATCATACCATTGATTCCCTATGTTTAGGGACTGGAATACTACCACAGTCTGGGAATTTCGCACCAGGTATGTTCTTCAATAATGGATGTTCCTATCATGCATTGGACTGATGTGAGGAAGGACTTATCTGGCACGAACTGCCGTTGCAGCTACGGTGGGGATATTTTACCGCCCAGAGGAACTCCATTCTACAAACCGCACCACATCCGGTTCGGCTTCATCGATTTCTCTTCGTCTACTTATGCTTCTGGAGGAAGTGGAGCAGAGAAAACATCGCGCAGGGTGCTGGGACGATCGGCGACGCGTCCATATGACGCACCCGAACTGTCGGACGACGTTCCGTACGACCCTTTTGCTGTCGATGTGAGCCGGTCTTTCCACCGATTTGTGTTGGATTTGATGCAGCTGCAGGTGTATGCGTGCGGCGCTTGGCTTACAGAAATGTTACGAAGCTACCAGGTACGTCCGACTACCAGCCCCCTGCCTTTTTACCGTGTATCCATGGATTCACAGCATGTGTCACCTATTCCAAACCTCGTTCGATTTATCTTTCCAGGGTTTCTGAAGTTCCTTCGTCGACTCATCTCTGCACAACCAGAGCTGAGGCCAACCGCCAACCGCGTCCGAAGCGCTGGGCGAGCTACACCAGGTGCTTGCGGCGATTCGCGATCGTTCGGATAAAGCACTGGAAGCACCGAATTGTATCTGGATCTATGGCACTCCCGATGAACTCCCCATGGTTGACAATGAGATATCCATGTAGCTATTCCTTCAAGCAGCATATTTATTATTGCTCAGGAACCACAATCCGCCTAACATATACGAGGGTGGCGTCTTCGAAGATAGGACGGATTCGGTCGTTTATGATTGGCATCCATGCCGGAGTTTCGGATTGGGGAAGACAGGATGCAGGCTGGACAAAGTCAGGAACGAAGAGGAAAGGAGGAC